CCCCACTCCAAGTTCTAGAGGCTACCCCATATTTTGTGGCCTGAGGACCACTCTCTCTCTCTCGCAAGACATGGTGCTCTGTCCATACCAATCTGTCCAGGTTTGTACACAGGTTTGTCTGTCTGGATAAAAGTCTTCTTGTCTGTGTGCTTGATTAGGACTTTCTGTTTCTTCTGATACTCTGAGTTGGCTTCCAGGACTGTGATCCCAATAAAAGCCACTTCATCAGGGTTTCCAACAGGAGGAGGGACCTGCAGGCATAGTTGTAACCATCACTCAGGGTGGATCCCATTAATGGATCCCATTCATTATTCTGGAATAATGATTATGATACTGCTTTTGTATTGCCCCAGTTCTTCTTGCCCTGAAAGACCTCACAGTACTTTTCAGAATATTTTCTAGAAGAGTAAAATATCAGTGGGGCTACACAGCAGGAAGGACACTGGCAGACCTATACAGGCTGAAGCAGAAGATTCAGTGCCCAATTAAGATGTCCCCACGGGAAGACACAATTCTTTGCCTTCCTGCCCAGCAAGAGCAGAACTCATGTGCTACCCATCCTACCCTGGAAAACATATTCCTCACCTGGAAGCTTGTGCAATGAAAGAAGGTGAGCTGAGAGATGGACTGCGTGATCAGAGTCTCATTCCCAGCTCTGCTTTGCAAGGTTACTGTCACATGGATCAGGACTGCTTCCTTTCTGCTGATTTGGAGGCACACTGTCTCTGAGAAGGGGTAATAGAGCTGAGATGGTATTGCCACAGCATAATTTCTATTAAAAAAGAAAAAAAAAAGGTCATGTGAAACTGATTTTCTAAGAGGACAGGTTTTGACCATAGGATTTGGGTACTTCCTAATAAGACTTCCGGTCTCTTCATTCCACTGCCACGATGCCACTGGGGCAAGATCACACCGTTCTTCTCATCTATTGGTACTGCAGCCATTAACACTGAGTCTGCACTACATGCTGCATGCATATGTAAAAAGATAAAGTCACTGCTTCCAAAACTGAAAGTCAAAATAAGGTGAAGAGGCCTCCCCATGTCACCCAAGGGATCAGCAGCAGAGCTTGGCTACACTGCAGGTTTCCTGAGACTTCAGCCTTTTCACTGAACCACAGTACGTATCACCATCAGTTTGCTTGGTTCGTTATCTGCTTTTTGCCCTATCAGCTACTCTTGGTCTCAGAACCAATGCCAAGCATATGAGACCCAGTGTCCTGACTTCGTGTCCCAGATACAGTCTCATGAGCACCTTCTCTGCAGCTCCTGACACTCCTGTCCTCCTTGTTCTCTTATGCTAGATCTCACACCTCTGTGGCTACTCTCACAGCTGTGCCCATGGATAACACCAAGAGGCTGTTCATATTGGGGTTTTTTGATCTTATACAGCAGTGCAGCAACTAGGACCAAAGAAAAGCCAACATTCAAGCATGTTTGAAAACTCTTAACACTGACTTCTCCTGCTTACTGCTTCTGGACAGGTTCAGCCAGCGGCATGTTTTGCAGCAGCAGCAGGGCAGGGCCTGGAAAGATCAGAACAGCAGGAGGCAGGGCCATGACCTGCTGGCAGTTCTTGGCTGGAGCTCAGCACCCTGGCAAGCGGGAGTCAAAGTCCTGCTGGCCAGAAGCCTTGAGTGCTTTCACACTTGAGTGCTGTCAAGCTGCCTTGAGCAGCTTGTCTGCTGCTAACAGTAGGGGATCCGATAAGATGCCAACAGCATTTTGATTTTCCTACTTAAGCTGACTCACCTCCCCACTGCCACTGGGCTAAAGGATGGGACGAACAGTAAAGACTCACTGCTTAAACCTCCCATACCTCCCTTGCTCCTAATGACCCTTTCCTCTGGAACATTTGCTTACACTGCCTTTGCCAGTTCATCCCTTGCCCTTGCCTTCTGAGCTATAAAAGTACGAGACAGCATCTCTGAGGCTGTCGTTCAAGGATCCCAAGAGCCAGGCTGGATTACTTTCTCATGAATCTACAAAACACATTGGCATATAGGCAGTACAGCAGACAGCCTATTGAGGCAAGCAGTATTTCCATAAAGCAAAGCTTCATGCTGAAGGTAACTGTGGGAAACAGGTAGCAGTAAAGCATCGTTTGAGTGGGAGCTATGTCAGCCTGTGGAACATGTTCTAGAAGAAGAGGCTGTACTCCCGCTGGAAAAGATTTTTAAAACTAGACTTGTGCATACCACACCACACACTGCAGGAGGGAACCCAGCTATGACCCAGTGACATATTTCCCACTGTAACATCTACTGTTCGAGCACAGCCCTGTTTCTGTTTGCACTTATGCCATGGCTGCAAAAGCAAAGGCCTTCAAAAGGCAAGAGCAAGTTCACAAGCCAGTATATCACAGCAGTGCCTGCTGGAACAGGAGTTGCATTCCTGATAAAGTATATGAAGATAAGCAGTGCTGGGAATTGTCCTTGCCAGAGGTTTCTTAGAAAGTCTGAGGGAGCAGATGGCCAGCTAAGCCAGAATGAACACATTGCTTTACAAAAAGCATCCCTATTAGATACCTTGGGCTCACAGTTGCCCGGTTTGTAAAGGCACCCAGCTTTGTCTGCTAAAGATTTAAATGGTGACCTATGGCTCTAGGGGGAAAAGCATAGCCCAAAAGGAAATATATTCTGGAGCACAGTAGGAGACGTGAGATGTTGGCAGGTCAGAATTAAACACATGCAGAAAGGTGGCAGAGTTGCTCTGCCTGAGTCCTTTCAGAAATATATGGTCTACATCAAAGGCACTAAAGGGAGAACCAAGTAGTAGGGGGAGTGTTGGGGGGAAGACACATGAGAACCAAGTGAAATCTTGGGAATATGAGAAATTATGCCTCTCTGGAAAAACACTCCTGGTCTTATGACTTCTGTCCTGTTTCTGTCACACCGCCACCCCCCCAGGATTCCCCACAGACCAGAGCGCGTATGCGAAGCAGCTGAGGTTCTTACAGCATTGCAGGTGTTCCGGCCGTGCTAGGCAGGAGAAGGATGCTGCCCCACAGGAAAGTGATGCTCCACATAGCTGATTGCAGGTCGAATCCCTCCACGGAAATGTGAGCCTCTCCTCTGTCCCCCCTTCGCCCCTGCTTCTGCTGCTTTCCTTCTTCCCTCTCCCCCTCACCCAGAGCTGAAGGACTATGCAGCTCCTGCCCTGACAGGGTGCCCGTCTCTCTCTTGGCTTCGAAACCAAGAAGGTGGAAATCATGCTGCGCATGGCTGGGGCTGGGATGTGGGCGGGTGGAAGGGGTGGAGACAGTGTTTATTGCCTACACACCAAAAGCACTTGCCTCGAGGCTTTGTAAGGCTTGTTGATATTTCTCTGGTATATGTCTTGCTCTGCCTTCTTATGCGATACAGCTGATGGCAGCAGGAGTGCTCAGTTACTATGTTTGGTACGGGGGCCCAATTTTTATAAAGGTGTCTTTACCAGGATTTCATTGGAAACATCCTGGGGCAAATTCATTCTTTGTGATGTCAGTGGATTTTGTTTCAGGGTTCTTCTTCTGTAGAACTTCTTTTTTATGTATTACTTACTTCTTACTGAAATTTCACTGCTGCCCTGCAGCCTCTGGCCAGACCAGCCCAGGGCTCCACACACAGTTCTGCCAGTGCCCCCAGTCCTCCCTGGAAGGAGGGAAGAACTTTAACATGTTATTATCTTTTTGTTGTCTATCTGTTCCCATTTAACTTCAGAGGCAGCCAACTTAATGACCATTCAGAGATGCAGAGCCATGGGGAGTGTTTCTGAAATCAGACAGAACTGATCGGTTTTTGTCTCGCTAGTTTAGGTTTGAACTCAAAACCCTGTTGATTTTGGAGAATCAAATATGCTCCCAGATCAGTGACATACAGTGCTTTAAACCCGCAGATTATCTGAATGTCAGAGCTAGGTTAAAGGCTAGTGTGTTCCCTATTACATCGGACTGTGCACTAAGAGAGTGGATGCTAAGCACACATTATGGGGACTGTGCCAAAGTAAATCCAGGGGATTGCTTCAGCTGGGAGCAAAGAGTGGGTGGATGGCAAATTCACTCTATATTGTGTACCCTTGGTTATGCTCTTCAAAAACACAGCTGGGGCCAGGACAGGATGAGGACATCCACCTTCAAATGAGGTTGTAACTAGAAGGCAAATAAGTCCAAGCCCTGTTCACTTCACTGCTGCCACCCAGGAAAAGGAAGTACAAGGTTGCAGTGCCTGAGAAAAGTCTGGAGGAGATGGGTGGTGGTGTCAGTGTAGAACTACTTCATGGCTGGAGAAAGCTGTCAGAAAACTGGACATCTGGCTTGGGGGGACGTAAAGTAGAGATTTGCTAAAATATGTGGGTGCTTAAAATGTCTTGCTTTATTTGGAAAGGCCTTACAGTGGAGCTATGAGGGGAGTTGGCAGGAGCAGCCCTGGAGAAGGTTCTGTGCCCAGGAGGATCAGACATGACTGGGATGGATGGGTGGACAGAGGTAGTGATGCAGGGAATGGAGGTGAATTGAAAGGTTTTTACTCCAAGCTCTGATTAAATATTGGATGGGAGGAAGATCACTAATGATGCACAGAGAGAGTACTGAGGATGCTTTTTACAAGCTGAGGACAGTAGCTGGTGTGCAGCTTTGGCTCTCATCATATGCTATAGCCAGGATCCAGACCAGCCACAGCTGAGATAAGGGTTTCTCTTAAGTCCCCTTCAGCCTGGGTTAGAGGTCACCCACCCCACATCTTCCCCCCCAGTGCTCTGGCACCCCATGGCCTGGAATACCATCTGAATGTAGATGTGGGTAGAGAACTGTGCTGTGTGGCCTTTACTCTGCTGTTGGTGGAAGCAAGTAAATATTAGCTAATGTCATTATCCTGGAAGAGATACTATCTCCATATACCAACTCCCCCACTCTTTGGACTTAGGAGCATCTGAGGTGGGTATTTAGGATTGTTCCAGCCCATCAGTACAGGCAGTTCTCTCCTCCTGTGTGGATCTTGTCAGCTGTCTGTCCCAGCCCAAGCAATGGGAGCACCAGTGCTCCTTTTAGCCCTGACCCTATTCCCAGTTGCAGCTGCAGCAAGCCTGGAACCATGAGAATATCTCCTTTTGATTTTGGGGTGCTTGGTTGGTCATTGAAGGGTGGTGCTGAGGTGCTGCACTGTTTAGCATCACAGAGCTGAACGGTGGGGGGCCTTGTTCTCAGGGAGGCTGAGCAGAAGCAGCTCCTACGAGTCCCATTGGAACACTGGGTGTTGAGCACCACTGCAGGTGAAGCCCCTGGTGTTTGCTTGTGCAGGCACTGCACAACCATTTTACAGATATGGCTGCAGGTAAGTGACAAAGAACTCACCAAAGGGAGATGTCTGCCTCTTCTACTGTGCCCTTTCACTCCTGGACAGAGTTGTGCCACAAATGTAACCTCATAAGGTTATGGTTATGGTTCAGGTTCAGCTGAAGTCTTTTCTACCTGGTCAGCCTGGGTTCTTCATTCAAACCAGCACCTCTGTGATGCACATAGCTGAGCTAGAGGCAGGGCAGTAATGAACCTTTGCCCAATGCCTTGTCTGCACAGAGCACAAAGCACAAGGCTAAGTGCTCAGTAGATGCAGCACAGCTGCTTCTCCTTCCCACGGTGTTATGGTGTTACCACTTCCCAGTAGCTTTACTGTTCTTGGCAGCCTTTGCAATTCAGAAGCTCAGTAAAAGGATACTGGAGGGAGGAGAAGGAATCTCACCCGGTGATCTGGCATCCTCTCTGCTGGGGCAAAGGTAAGCCCTCGTAGTGCCTTCTTGTGCCTGAGTATGGCTGGACCTGCCAGGTACCCATGCTCCCAATGTGACTTGGTGGCTCTGCATATCCTTTCCCAAATAGGATCCTGAATATAACCGTATTGCTGAGTGGCTGAATGTAAAGTCAAGACATGGCATTGTGGATCCGTCCTTCCCCCTGGCCTCTGAAGCACCCCTTGGGGAGTATACCATCTCAGTGCAACAAGACATGGCTCAAAAAACCTTCAGTGTTGATGAATATGGTGAGACTTGGACAACAGAGGTGAGGGAAAAGCAGTGCGGGTAGCTGGAGAAGAGAGCAGGATGATGTGGCCATGTTCATCAGACCTTTTGTCCTGGGGACAGGGACAGATGGGTCTGTGCGCACATCTCATGCTGGGCTGGAGGTTTTGCAGCTGCATAGGGTACAAGGGAAAGGCTGTGGTCTGACATCTTGTTCTAGCCGTGGCTGGGCCCTGTGATGAGCACTTTCTGCTGCTCATTGTCACCCCCTTCTAAGCTAAGTTTACTGTCCACTCTAGTCATCTGCCATAATAGGAAGCGGCATCATGCCTTCGTCCCATTCAGTTGCAGTGATGTAGGTAAGGACAAAACCCTGTGCTGTTTAAAATGTTTATGCTTGACTGAGCTGGAGTAGAAAGCAGTCCCATGCGCAATTGTAGCAGCAAATAGAGGGTGGTGTGGCTGAAGGGAATAACACCTATTGCAGCATAGTAATGAATAACTGGGGACATTACTGTCTTCCCCCCCATCTGGACTGCAGCTATAACAGAACTTACAGTCAATGCTCATACTCAGTATTGCTTTTTTTTCCTCCATTCATATCTTCCTCACTTCCATGCAGTGCTGAAAAAGTTCGAAATAAAGATTGAGCACTCTCCATTTATCACTACAGCAGTTGAGGAATTTCAGCTTAAGGTCTGTGGCAAGTGAGTACATGATACCGTTGTGATCTCTGGCCTTTGGCTCCACAATCACCTCCAGATTGCTCATAACCGAGAAGTTGCCTTCCAGCATTACCCTGTGGTTGGGGGACCCATATCACTCTCTGGAATGGTCTCCTTCTCGCACATGGTCATTTACTGTGAGGCTGAAGGACACTAAGGATGCTGGGTATAGTGGGTGGAGAGGGATGCAAACTGATCTTAAGGGATGAGCTGAAGTTCCCAAGCAAACAAGGTACAAAGCTCTCCCAGGCTCCACTTCCCTCCAACAAGGGTGGGGGGTGGCCTGGATCAATATTTCTGCTGAAGCAGCCAGTCTTCAGGTGAACGTTTCTCCCCTTTGACACAGGTATACCTATGGGAAGTCCGTTCAAGGGAAAATAGATACTACTTTTACCACATTATCCCAGTTCTTGGAAGGGGATTTATCAAGTTCTACTGAGATGAGGAAACAAAACAGCTGGGTAGGTGAACAAATAGGAGAGTGGAAAGTATAACCTGCTGGAAATGTATGCCTGTCCCCTTAACCTGCCTCAATGCACCTCTGATGTGCACCAACCTGTTTAGTCTGGTGTCTTCCCGCTTTCTAGACCTGATCAGACCATTGATTCCTCTTCCTGTGACTCTATTGCTTGAATTACTGCTCTAACTGCCCATATCTGACTCTGTTTCAGGAGACGGTGTAAGCTCTGTGTAAGTAATTGTTATGGTTTAATCCCAGCCGGCAACAGAGCACCACACAGCTACTCACTCACTCCCCCCCCCGTGGGATGGGGGGGGAGAGAATCAGAAGAATAAAAGTGAGAACACTTATGGGTTGAGATAAGAACAGTTTAATAATTTAAAATAATAATAACAACAACAACAACAATAATAATGATAATAAATTGTAATGAAAAGGAAAATAACAAAAAGAGAGAGAAATAAA